ATTGTACAATATAGACATAACACTTACAATAAGGTAGGTTTACTATTTTCAAGGAATTATTTCGTTACTTTTTAGTGTACTGTTTTTTTGACATAAACACGAATACAATTAATTTTACTTGTACGATAAATCAGCCGGATTGTTGGTTGTTTATAATACATAAATAGTTTATGAATTGTATATTTTCCTTGTAGGTGCGATGACACAATTTTAATGTTAACTAAACTTATTTCAGTTACACAAGTTTAAATTATTTTATTTAGTTGTTATTTATCACTAACTAAAATATATGAAATATTTTGAAAAATGCACTGTTGGGATTATCATAAGCAGAACACGATCTTCTAGAAAATAGTTTTTTGGAAATGCAATACAAACACCGTAGATTAATCAATTTATACCGATAAGTATTAAATGTCGTTTTGAGTTCAATAAATACTTTTATTATATCAATAACATGATTGTAAATACTTCTTATAACTGTCAATTCACGAAATATAAACAAAATAAATGTTTATAAGTGTTATAAATAATTAAACCAATTAAGATATTCATCTTCTAGAAGGGCGTAATAAAATCTAAAATTGGTTCTCAGAAGGGTCCATTAACAATTTATGGGACATATTTAGAAAAGAAAGAGGCGTGGTTTCTAACTTCGCACTAACACTTCCAAGAATTGTAGTTTTTTCAAGGTGATTTTGTATGTTTTTATAGAGTGCGATTTGCTAGTTTTGAAAGTTTGAAATTCCTCGGATTTATTATACCATAAAAGAAAATTAGGTACAGTCAGGGAATAAGGCCTTGTTCTACTTTGAAAGGTATAATACAAACACTTGATCGTTTTATTCGCATTGAAACAATAACCAATATCATGCATTTTAAATGTGTCTGTACGATAAAAGATCGATGCGATTAACTTCTTTTATTATTATCCTAATAAGTTACTTTTTAAAACAGGTGGAGTTTTTCTCGTTGGATGAGAAAAAGAAACATTTTTGTAAGTGGAAACCCGCGTATTTCCGCGATTGTACTTTGTTCGTGCAATACAATTTAGGTAGTTCACCTTTACCGCTTCTGAAGATTTATCTCTTATCAGACAATAACTTTATTTTCTCACTTATCCAGTTCTAGCTTATTCAGGTACGACTATACTTATATTAGAGGAAGTTTGAAAGTAGCAGCAGTGATGGAGAAATTGAGAAGCAGAAGATTAACGTGGAGACGATTGTGACATAAGCCAGAAAGTGGATATTCTTAAGAAGGGGGTGGATTCAGATATGACGGCTGATACAAATGTATAGAAGAGCAGCACACAAATTGTGCCTACTATGCATAAGGGATAAGGGCAAGTTGATGACTATACCTAAATCCGTCAGCTCGCTTACTCAACTGTAACTCTTACCTTGCCGTTTTCCTTCTGAAAGTCGCACCCACGGTTGTTGTAAGGCGAGTGGTCAAAGACTAGTTGTAAGTTGGTGCCGGTTGATATGAAGGCGATCTCCGTGTGTCCCTCGCGGCAGCCGGCGGTGAACCGCATCTGCCGCTCCTCTGGCGGACGGTCGCGGTAACCAGTGTACCTCACCTGAACACAAATTAGTAATATTGATATCTATGTTAACTAAGTTAGCTTGCGAAAGTGGCATTAGAGAATCGGACTTCTAAATAACGAGCGTTGAAAACATTTGACTATAGATTTTTGTCAATTCGATAATATCAAGCTGTACATTTTTTTTGTACAATACAAGTAAAATAAGCTAAAAGCCACGGATATTGGCTAATGTTTTCTTATACTAATCTATGTTTATGCATATTTTTTTTTAAATTCATATTGTTTTGGTTACTTGTACTCTGTGTTTTATTAAACTATTACTTATTACAATGTCTTCCTTAAAATCTTGGAACCGTAAGTTGATGATTTTTTTTCAGCCACTAAATTATTCATCAACAAAACGATGAATAATTCATTAAATGATTATCAATCATTAGTTAGTCAAAATTATTTAGTAATTAACTGATGCGTAAAGGCAAATAACTGTACGGAATTATAATTATTAATTTACGTAGATTTGTAGACAACTTAGCGTTTACAATGATATAATTATTTTTTAATTTAACAACATTCCATACAAAATTTCCTGTTTTTTAACTGACGCTATGCAAGAAGGCGTTTTACCTTTTAGCGTTCAAATAACTTATTAAACAACGTAATAATTATACGAATAAGTTACAAACCTCGCTCTCCCTGCTCAGTCTCTTGAACAAGTCATCGGATTCGAACTTGGCCTTCTGATCAGGAACTACCCGTGGCATCTTAAAGATGAAGCGAGGCTTCGGCTGCTCGTACAGCCCTATCGAGTCGAAGGGTAACATGCCGGCCAATGCAGCGGGGTCGCCCATAGCGTGCATAACAAACACGATGTTCTTACACACAAACAACGACAAACATCACAATCCGCACTGACTCAGACGAAACGATGATTCAGTATTCCGAAAAGTAAACGGTTAACACGTCTAACTGACAACGGTGGCATGCGCTTACTAAATGTCCGTCCGCACGATCGCTCCGTGAAGATTTCCACCAGGGCGGAGCTCTCCATGGTGGGGCGGCGGAGAACCAATCCCGTGAGCCCCGGACACCGCCCCACTCGCCCTTACGCCTTCTTTACGCGATTTCGGGAGCTTTCGAGCGTTAAGAGGGTTTTCTCCCCTCGAAACGTATCAAAATAAATACTGTAAACGACAAAGCACATGAATTTATAATGATGGGCATTATGCTCTTTCGGCGTTTCGAGTGTTTTATATATTTGTAACGGAGCCTTTGTTCCTTTTGTAGCGAGATAAATGTACTATATATGCTTACGAGGGGGGAACATAAGGGGAGTCAGCCCTGTCAACTGATACAAATCAAATGAAATGCGATATTTTTGTCAGTATAAAATAAAATAAAAAGCGTAAATAGGTAGGTCTCTATTGCAACAGTTATTAGCATCTGGATAACATTCAATGACGTTTTATAACGTTATGATATTGGTACTCTCCATTGTTATATTACTTTTATACCATTATTTTTTAGATAATAGCTCTGTTTTTAAAGTACGCTGTGCAGTTAATGTTGTTACGATTTTATTGACTTGCTGAAAGAAAGAAATTTATATATGTTACAGGTAAGACATGCTATTTAAATTGTACATTAAATTAAAATTCACTAGGCCTAGCTAAGTCGTCATTCGCGTGGGCGATTTATTAACGCGCTCCCTCATACCAACGCATTTCGCTCATAGGTTTGAAAAACCACAATTTTTCGTCCGCCCAACACGAAGCGATAAAAAAGTGTTGCACTTTAAAAGTGCTACCGTGTGAACAGATGATACACGGAAATTTAATGGAAATGCAGTACTTCTATCTCAACGCTTTTTTAACGCCCGTTATTAAAGCTCCCGTGCGAATGGGGAGTAACTGTTCAACATATACTTACGTAACATATAATCTTGCCTTCTCTAATGAGCCTTGAAAACTGAGTTTTCTATTGAACTGGTATCAATATTTTACTATACAAATGTAGTTTCTTGTCCGACGTACCAATTTCGGGTTTTTCATAATTCATGCGGAAAATATCGCGAATGATTGCAAGAAATTACGTTCATAAATCGATATTACAATAAGTAATATTGAGAAATAGCCTATTCAGTAAGCATAAAACTAGTGAATGTTCTTTTAGGCTTAAATACTATATCGCCCGATAACTTAAAAGCACAGCGCAAGCTTTTGTGCAGTGCTATAAGTAAATTAACAAAAGGCATTGCAAAGATGAACAAAACATTCGAAAGGTATCGATTAACGATCGAAGGCCGATAACCAGCTCTCTGAGTGTCGGTATTGTTGCGACATCCTATCCTTATACTGTCACTTAAAGTGATCTATAGCAAGTTTTGTTAACATCAACGTTGGATATTTATCCCCATTATTGTAAGTGCAGTAGATTTATGTTATCTTCGAACTTTATCTGTCATTTCCCTTTAAGATTTCGCAGATCAGATGTCGTTAGTCTGAGTTTTATTAAGATTTTGCATATTTCTTCTCATTTTAGAAAGTGGGATCGTTAATCATCCCATCAAAGTAATTTTTGACCGACTTCCCAAAAGAAGAAGGTACTTCATTCGTCTGCATGTTTTTTTATTGTTTTGTTTTTTTTTTGACTTAAGTAATAGATACCTCTCATAGCGAAACTAAGTAAGCATGTTTATCACAAGAATCCGCTTTACATTCGCTTATTTGAAAATGGAAAAACTTGTAACAGCAGTGAAGACGAGGACTATAAAAATCTCAGTGCTGAAATGGTTATAGGAGTAGCAAACTCATAGAAACGTCTTAGACAAAACATCTTATGTAAAAATTAAAGCTCATATCATCCATTTTTAATAAAAAGACATAACTATATTTATATTTAAACACCATAGACTTTCAAAGTGATAGAATTTATGCAAACATATATTTTAACAACTGTAAGAAAAAAGACATTAGCCTACGAGGGAAAGTCTCGTAATCTTTGATGTAAAAAAAGGCACGTGTCAGTTAGGAGGACGTTTGATCTGTGCGCGTCGAGTCGCTGCAAGGACCGCGCACGCGTGTCGACCTGATCAATAACATGCGGCCATCTACGAAGCACGTACACATCACGTGCCAGCAAATTTGTAAAAATATTGGCAGATGAGTTTCGAGCTTTTAAATTTACCCAATTCACTATTAGAATTAGACACATTGTCTCGGCCTACCCGGATGCTGACGCCTGTAGGTATTGTAAACTTAAATAACTGCACTTTTATAAAAAAATATCTTTTTGAGAGCATTGACGTCTTCTCAATACTCTCAGTAAGAAGTAACAAGTAACTTAACTAACTTTATAATTTAACTTTCAGCGGACACAAAACTTGTAAGTAGTTAGTACACGACATGTATCGGTCCATGGTTCGGTATCAAATCTGATTCCATTCAACTGAACGTGATAATATAAAAAAATCACAACTTATATTTAACTTATAAACTGCATGTTTTAAGTGGTACTGAAAAACGGTAAAAACGATAGGTTAAGTCGTTTTCTTTTGTTTACTTATTTAAAATGTTCAAAAGTGTTCGACTGAAACTGTACTTTTTATCTTCATCTTCATCTTCATCGGATGATGGATGGATGGATAAGGAGGAATCCTTATCCTACTCCCGTAGGGTCTGCGCGGCAAGTTTGTGTCCTCCACGTAACTATCACATGTCATCTCAGTCATCACTCCCTTCTTGATCATGTCTCATTTCCATCCATCTCTTTCTAGGTCTACCTCTACCGCTGTACCCTTCCACACTAATAACTAACGTTTTATATGTGTATTTAAATATGTGAGTACGCACGATCCTTGCCTAAATGTGTCATAGATAGTGTGTCAGTGCAATGAATATTCCCACAGCACTTGCTCCCACGCCCACGCGGACTCAACTTCAACGATACAAGATATTGATAAACTTTAAAAACAATGGTTTATTACAATTTTTACTCCCAAAAATGAAATAACTACTACAATTTCATGTAACATCATATAACTGTCTATGTTCAAATTGATTATAACCATTGCAAGTTGGTACTCTGTACATATACAACAGCAAACTCTATTTAAAATGTATTAAAACACTTTAAAATATGTATGTATAAATAAAAATATGCTGTAAAAAATAAATGGTTGCACTTACATAAACACCAAATTTGAAATTCTTTTTACTTAAAGTTTACAACTATACTTTCTCCTTAACGACACAATAATAGAAACTGGAGAATAAAACAAATAGTTTTCACTATTGAATTTAGTACAATGATTTGGGCAATAACCGTTTATAAAGTTTTGAGAATTCCTATCCTGCAATTGTAAATGCCGTTGTTACATTTTGGAAGCGTATTGTTTATACAACAGAAGAGTAAAAAGGGCCATTGCAATTCTCACCTCGGGGCTACACTGGTTATAATGTTTACGAGTCGTCATAAATCACGGCATTGTTAGAAACTAGTTCATTTCCATATTTGCTCAGCGACAATGACCGTGCCGACATTTAATTAATTGATTCATAAACCTTTTCATAGCGACGCGGCAAAAACTACCCATTGACCCCTAAATAAAACAATATAAGCGAGCATTGAAAGGGTTATAACATGTTCCCATTAGCGGATTTAATGTGAGCTATTTTCGGCCAGTACACGCATTTAGGCCTTTTTTGTGTATTTTTTTGGTAATCATAATAATTTACACATTACTAATATTGTGCTGTATGAATTAATTAAATCAAACATAATTTAAATTTAATAAATCGCAAGATATTTATCCTGATAGTTATAGATTTTCACAACTAATAAATGTTTGTTCATTCTTTTTCATCTAGCCTAGCTCTAGATTACTAAATAATAAAATGAACATGTAGCCAACAATATCCAAATGTGATCAACATTGAAAGATCACATTCATGAAAAGCTATTTGAATAAGCTATTGAAACGGTAAACATCAATAATTTATAGCAGAATTTGTTATTCACCTACATTAAATGAATAGTTAGCATATCTGAATTTTCACACCTGTAACTGTTTTAGCGCGTCATATTTTCGTTAAATATTATTTAGCTGATGTCCGTGAATCATGCTAAATATGAAGGTTTTAGTGACTTCATTTGACGAGGAGAGGACGAGAGCTGGGCAACCGCGCCGTCGGTGTTCGTAAACTTTCAAAGGGACCGTCTCGTTGTTTATGCGAATGATTCCGGTCAACGCTTTGTCTTTTGCCGCGCGGCCTTCGGACGACACCCTAATAAAAGGCGTGGCAAAAAATGCCCTAATGGCTGTTGATCCTATTTCAAAGCAATAAAATGCAACAAAATTAGCTTTTGTTAAATTTAGAACAGTAAACGTCCGAAGTTCTGGCGTATTCAGGACTCGTTTCAACGGACCGGCACCGAAAGGGCCTTTGTTTTATGGGCGTGTAACTTGCGGACCATTGTTGCAATAAAATAAGGGAATTGCAGCTAGCTGTATTTTTTAATGAATCTTTATTGCAACACTATAAAGTATTTCGAAATCCCGAAAGCTGAAATTTTAAATAACTGGAAATACTAGAAGGTTGAAACCTTTTTTAATTGTCAAGTCAATTGAATATTTCAATGAGTACAATAGTAAAATTGTAGGCAATTTATACAAGTACTACAAAAACTTTTTCATGTACATGATCGCATGTAACAAGGAGAACGTTGGTTACGAGTGTGGAATGGTACACCGGTAGATTTAGACCTAGAAAGATATGACTGAATTGCAGGCATGAAAGGTGACAAGATAAGACGACAGTGATGACTGAAATGACGTATGACGAACTACTTACGGGTGTAGGATGAGGAGGAAGGCGATGATGGTGATGATGTAAATCGACGTGGTAAATACAACAAACGAGGAAAACCAATATTACTAATAAATATATATGTAGATAGAGAAACAAGGACAATTACAAATAACTCAAAAGTATTTTTTTATTTGATAAACAATAAGAAAAATATTGTAATCGCAACGAAAGAAACGTCATATCATTCGTTGCGCTGCATACAGATAACATGAGACCGGTTTACCCGCTGATTGCCACAATAAGTCTACATACGTCATAGTTTTTACACGCACAACCGGAACGGGGCATACCTTGTTCTTATTAGCACGTCAATATTTTTTCCTCGTATTAATTTTTATTGTGTGGAAAATTCATTGCTACTGATTAATTTTAATAAGTTTATTTTGTATTTATACCTGTTTGTTTTTTTTATATACCATAAGGTGGTAAACGAGCAAGCGACCACTTGAATAGTTAGTTACTAAACATTTTTTAGCCAAAAAGATATAAAATGTCAAAGCTGTCAAAAGACAGACTATTTCCGTAAGAACCTGTCTCTGCTAAAAATCTACAATGAGGCATTACTATTAATTACTATTAATTTTATGTGCCGTAATTAGTTACGAAAAAAGAATGATTATCTTAACATTGAGTTACAACGCCCTTAAAATGTGTTATAGTAGTTAGAGTCAAGTAAATTGACAGAGTAATAGTTACTTTAGTAGTAAACACTTTTTTACCAAGAGGCAAAATTCCTTTTTAAGCAACGTAGGATTTTTCCAATACATAGTAAATAACACTTTATATTATACGAGTGTAAATTTCCACTTAAAAGTTCCATTCACTTAAATAGCCTTCGGAAATCCCCTCTTTTATTTTCCGAGATCGCTTTCTGAGATTTGCACAATGTTTAGTTGGGGTTTTTAAATATCATGTAAATACGATGACGTTTAAATTCAATTAGAATAAGATAAACAGTATAAGTAGGTGTTACATTACATTTATAGAATTGTAAAGAAAATATAACTGTTTTATTTTTTAGAAAGATTTTATTATGATGTGAATGATCAATGTGAAATGAACAATTGATGTATAATTTTTTTGTGTATTGAAATTAACTGTAATATATATTAAATGCGGTTATATTGTGTATAAGTATCGCATGCTGACTTTGACACTTTATAAAAACATGCGAAATCAAACAATAAATATGCTTACGTCGTACAGATTCTACATAATATTCTCAGATAAAGCCAGGTTCCTTTATTAGAGTGCTTACTTATAGACCCTTTTACTAAAACCACCGAACAATGCTTAAAAATGTCCAAGTAAATATGAATAAGATATTTATATAGATTCAATGTCATTTAGTTATAAACGATTCGTAAATTTTGAAGAGGTAATTCCCTAATACCGTAACTATTAACGAAATGATGATGTCATCCACGAAATTCACCGTAGGTATTTCGTAACCATACCAATATCAAAAAAGGCAACGTCACCATTTAATTAAAAACAAAAACATAAAAATATCTCGACCTGAAAAAGAGCTTTGAGCTAGATTAAATTGTTATTTATTTTTGATAATAGTAAATTTATTTTCACTAACAGTTTTATTATTTTATTGATAATATAATATAAACTACACTAATAACTACGAATAACTAACTACTGCTAATGACAAAATGTAAAATACATGCTGTACTCGTACTTTCTATTACTTACGCTTTGAGTTCAAGGTTGCAGGACCAAATGTTTATATGATGCCATTGTCCGTTGAGGAAGAATTGGCAAGCAATTGCTTTGCCAAATATCAATACTCCATACCGATTTCACTGACTCATCTATTGTTGATTTGCTAAACGTTTTATAACAATGAATAAATGACTAATGGGAAATGAGACGTTTGTGCGTAATATAAATATAATTAAAACAGACGACCTTAACTTGAAGTTTTGAGCCAGCAGCGATTTAATTCTGCCCTTATATATCTACTAGCATTCGCCCGCGCTTTAGTCTGGATAACATTTAAAAAAAAAAAAACAAAAAATAAGTAGGCCACGTGTTCTTCCAGACTATCCTCTACGTAATGCCAAATTTCATCAACATCCTTTCAGTCGTTTAGGCTACAAACTCTAAAAAAACATCCATCCATCTAAACCTTCGCATTTATAATATTAGACGTCATTTCTGAATTCATCCTTTTCTTACCAATCCATCCATTTGTATATTAAAGAATCGAGTATGAGTCGTTAATTGTCTTAGCATAGACTGAGGCAGAAAATGTCTGGACAAACTAAGCCTCGCTAAAATCTCTAGAAGTGACGAAGTAAGAAATAGTGAAAGTGCATGCATTGAATGTTTTTCAAATGTTGATTTAAATTCGGTAGAGTATGTAGCAAACAAGGAAAACGGTGCGTCGAATGTCACTAAATTTCTTGGAATCAAATAAATGTTTTTGAACGTTGCTACCTTATAGGCTAAACACAAGTTTTGCATCACAATTTTGACCTTACATGCATAATCTACAAGCAAACTTTATTAACGTCGTTTTAATTTCGTGATAGAAATAAAGTATCATTTACTAGATATACTTTTGTGTATTATGATTTTAAATAGACTTATTCAATGATAACATGTTTTAATTAATTCGGTGTACCTATAATCAGCGTCGAGTCAGAAAATACCGGAAATACCTCGACGATCGCCATCGGGACCGGTTAATTGTGTGACGTCACTCATAACGTGCACAATATAACATCTTAGTAATCGACCACATTATACGTCATAGCTCACGTCATAGTCGGCAGATTATATCGTTTGAGGTCAAAACCAATTACTTACATTGATATTAGTCACTAAAATTAAAGTTAGCCTTAAGGTAATATGATTGGGAAAGGTGAAAAATTAACATATATTCTGGTTACGGACAAATAATACAATAGCTTGTATTATATAAATAACTATAAATATCATGCTTGACCTCCGAGAAAATGTTATGACTAAACCTTAAAACACCGCACCCGCAACGCTTGAACAGACAACTCATACATTTTTTTATTTTGCTAAGAAAATACCAGCTTTTAACTAGGTAGCTAGGTATATGTGCTGAACTTAATTTTTCAAATTTCTGCTGCACTGTTTGTACATACTTTTCTCAATATATCATTAAGATTTCAGTCGGATTTTAATGTTTAAATCATCTAGTAAGATTTTTGTCTAATCTAATTCTTGTCGCTTAAAGGTTCAAAGGCTTAGGTATTTATACATACATCTATGAAAATAAATCGTAAATCAATATCGATAATTACGGACATAAGCGGATTTGTTGTTGTACAAAGTGAAAAGTCATTAATCAAGTTTCTCGCAACAGCCGCTCGCACTTCAGTGGCGCCCGCTTACGCGCCATTACAGAGAGCTTATTTTGTTAAAAACGGACGGCATCTTTTATAGCGTGTTATCTTCAAATGAACACAATAACAAGTTTAATAATGGAAGTGATTAATGTGCGAGCAGGATGACGCGCACTTCTAGCCGAGGGCGCGAGGGTCCGGGTCGTAGCGAAGGCGCGAACACCGCGCCTTTGCCAACAGAGTACAGGGCATAGAGCACAGAACACCCTGCGCACAGCAGCTAACGCGCCCGCCCCAAATGACCAGACATTATTTAATTGAAATGGAAGTGAAAGGGTGACAATTGTAATAGAAAAGAATAAAAAAGGGTTCACTTTTTGCGAGCGATGAAATATCGCTCAAGCTGTGCATTGTAACATTTGTGCTAAACTGGATGCTAAGATAATTAATAACTGTTTTATTAAATGTCGCATCAGGCGACGACTGCTCTATGGGGTGTGTGTGTGTACGTCTTGAATATTGCGACACAGAAATCTCAAGTAAGGAAATTAAGTGCACCTGTATCAGTGTTTAGATAATATAAAAATAACTATAAATTTGAGATAGAAACATAAATCACGCTTAAAGTTGTTTACGCGCTCGCTTCCTAGTAACATAAAGGAGTCTGATCGAAATAGAAACGGACTCGTTCCGACACTCGCTAACTAATGATCCGGTGTCACAATGGCCGCTCGCTCCCCGTCGCTGCACTGTAAGCTTCTTTGTCAACGAAAATTTTAACACTTCAATGTTTGATTTGTGCGAATTTGCGACATTGACAAAAAATCGATTGACACGTCGCGTTTTTATCGATGTTTGTGTTGCTACCTGAATCTTTTATATCTAAAAAAAAATAGGATAGGCAATACAAATGTTGACAGACGGGTGTTTTCGCCTCTCAAAGGAATATGTATGACAGTCAGTGAGTCGTTGACTCCAGTCGCGACAATGCACGAAGCGACGTGTGAATAATCGATGCTCATTTTGACAGATATCTTTTGAAGAATTAACACGGGTGAAAGAATCCTGCATGTTGGGATAGTGATCCGACTATCCTAAATATTAGACTACGCTCGCAAATACAAGAAAAATGTAGCTATAAGCATAAATATACTGGAATATTTACTTAAGCTACCAAGAATGAGACAGAAAAGAAAAAAATGTTAAGGGAGAGAAGACAAGGGAAGAATTACTTATGCGGGATGGTACTTACTATGACATCCCAGAGGCCTACTCACTTTTGTAACGAAGTTCGTCGGTGTCAACTTTTACCACGACGTAATCTTGGCAAATAAGCAAATAACTAGATTTGAACCAGAAGAAAAGTTAAATATTCCAACATTGATATTCAGTGGATAGGCGCTGGACGGCACCAGAGAGAACAACGCGAAGGGCGACAAGCGTGAAATCAAATTGTTAACACGACGCGACGCAGAGAACATATTGATATTTTAATTAGATTTACAAAGTCGGGTCTCGCAGCTTCGCGGGTTACACCCAACTCTTTGAGCCGATCTAATGGCACCCCGCGGACTATAGTTAAGGGTTGTCGGACCCCGCTTTTGTACCTCTCAATATTTACTCGCAAATGCATTACTGTAACAATACTTACTTACTTTTTTAAGTTTTCGAACAGCTTCCGTGTTATCGTTTACAAAAGCTCCGGGAATGTCGCTCGGGGCTTAATTATAGAGAGGCGTTGCGCAGCAGGTGACTGCAACAGAAAGGTACGGCGACGAATAAAATCATAATTGCTTTTTCGACTACAGGCTCCTAACTAATAGTTAAATAAAAAAATGCTTTTGTGCTTTTGCTATTGTTGCTATTTCTTCTTAAAATTTAAGGTCTTTATAATAATTATTTAATTGCTCGACTTCCTTGTCTAATATTACAAAATCATCTTTCAAGTGTGTGCAAATCTAAATAATCGAGCATATGAGAAACAACCGTTGCTGGTAATTTATGAAGCTAATAATAATCGACCATATTTTTTTTTTCGAAAAAAAAAATCACTTCG